AGAGAGAATTTTTAATATTTATTTTTTAGTTCTCGGCGGACACAACATCTTTGTTGGTATGTGGTGCTGAGGATCGAACCCGGGCCGCACGCATGCCAGGCGAGCGCTACCGCTTGAGCCACATCCCCAGCCCCAACATCCCCACCTTTTAAAAACATTTTTATTTTGAGATGTGACCTCACTAAATTGCCACGCCTGGCCTTGAACTTACATTTGAATTGACCGCCTTCCTTAGTTTCCTGAGTAGTGGAATTATAGGTGTGCACCACCACACCCAGCTAAAACCCAGCTTTTTAAAGACAGCCAAAAGCAATGTGGTGCCAATCTAATAAAGAAACTGAACTACCTTGAACTAGTAATTTTCTCAATATCCAATAGATGTTGAGTACTTATCAAATATAAAACATCCTACCTTGACCCCTGGAATTTGCCATGAAGCCCTAAGGGTCCTTGATGCAGTTTGGGAACTGTGGTTCAGTGCTGTGAGAATGTAATTTCTCTACTGAAACTTTGTGATTCTTCTGCTTGTACATTTGGGAAGAACCAGGTTGGAGCCACCTAGTTATGCTTGGTTTCATCCAGGAGACCAAACAGAAAGAGGTCCTACCAGAAACACAGTAGGTGGCATTGTAAAGCAAGTGCTACAGGCTGGGGCATCATTCTTCTGTGTTCCCAAATTGAAGTCTGCAGAAGCTTCAAGATACTTCCAGATCATGCAAGGGAAGACAGTGTTCCAGGCCAAGGGAATAGTACAGTGTCACAGATTCCCTCGTGGACCCTAAGTGATTTCATTTGGCCAAATTATAAAGGATTTTCTGTGATTGGTGAGAGACCATCGGCTGCTCCCATAGGAAAGGAGGAGCCATTAGAAGAATTTCCCACTAGCCCTCTCACTTGGAGTTGGTGCTCCTTGATTCTTTTCCCTACCCCACCTCCTTTAAATTAATGGTGTTTACTCTTTTAGGAAAGTTTTAGGCACACAGAAAATTGAGCACCTAATAGAGTGAGTTCGTATACCCTCTCCCTGGTTCAGTTTTACCTATTATTAACATTTTGCATTAGTGTGATACATTTGTAACAATTAATAAACCAGTATTAATACTGATGATGAACCAAAGTCCATAGCTTACATTAGAGTTCACTCTGGGTTGTATAGCTCTATACATGTTTTGACAACTGCATAATGTCAGGTATCCAACTTTACATTTTCATACAGAATAGTTTCACTGCTCCAGAAGTACCCTGTGCTCCACCAGTCACCCCTCATTAGCACTAAAAACAAAAACAAAAACAAAAAAACATAGAAATCTAATAAAATGTAAATATCTATGTGAATAAAACTACAAAATTCTGTAATCCTAGAGGATTGGGAGGCTGAGGCAGGAGGATTGCAAGTTCAAAGCCAGCCTCAGCAACAGCAAGGCGCTAAGCAATTCAGTGAGACCCTGTCTAAATAAAATACAAAAAAAAAAAAGGGCTGGGTATGTGGCTCAGTGGTTGAGTGCCCCGGAGTTCAATCCCTGGTACCCGCCCCCGCAAAAAAAAAAAAAAAAAGAAAAAGAAAAACCTACAAAATTAATAAGAAATCGAAGGAGATCAATAATAAGTAGAGTAAGGGCTGGGATTGTGGCTCAGTGGTAGAGTGCTTACCTACCATGTGAGGCACTAGATTATAAATAAATATACTGTGTCCATCTGCAACTAAAAAATATTTTTAAAAAAATAGAGATACTTTGTTTATGGACAGGAAGATTTAACATTATTAACATGTTGGTTCTTTCCAACTTGATACACAACTTCAACATAATCCCAGTTACAAGTACCAGCAAATTAGGTTTTCAGCAGATTGATTCAAAAGTTTATATGGAGAGGCAGAAGACCTAGAATAGCCAGTACAACAGTGAAGAAGCTGAGCACAGTGGCACACATCTGAAATCCCAGGAACTAGGGAAGCTAAGACAGGAGGACCATAGGTTCAAGACCAGCCTGAGCAACTTGGTGAGACCCTGTCCTCTAAACAAAATAAAAAGGGCTGGGGATGTGGCTCAGTGGTAAAGCACCCAGGGTTCAATGCCCAGTACCAATATATGAATTAAATAAAATACTAAAAGCTACAATAGTAAAGACAGTGTGGTATTGGCAAAAGAATAGACAGACCAATGGAATGACTAAGAATCCAGAAATAGACCCATACAAAGGAGCAAAGTCAATTTGATAGAGGACTATCCTTTCTCAGCAAATAATGCTGGAACAACTGGACAATCACATGCAAAAAAAGCTCACAAAAATTAACTCATGATGTAAATAAATGTAAAATACAAAAATATAAAAACTCCTAGAAAATAACAAGCTAAATGACCTTGAGTCTTGTAATAAGCTTTTAGATATAACACCAAGACCACAATCCATGAAAGAAAGATTCACAAGTTGGACTTGATTCAAATTAAAAACTTCTGCTCAGCAAAACACACTGTTAAGAGAATGAAAAAGACAGGGGCTGGGGTTGTGGCTTAGTGGTAGAGTGCTCGCCCTAGTGTTTGCAAGGCCCTGGGTTCGATCCTCAGCACCACATGAAAATAGATGAATGAAGCAAAGGTATTGTGTCTAACTACAACTAAAAAAATAAACATTAAAAAAAGAGAGAATGAAAAAGACAAGCCAAGGGCTGTGCAGAAATATTTCCAAAACACATCAGGTAAAGGTCTTGAATCTAAAATATACAAAGAACTCCCAAAGCTCAACAATTTGAAAACCTAATTTGAAAGGGGGCATAGGATCTGAACAAGCCGGGCGCTATGGTGCACACATGTAATCCCAGTGTGATACATTTGTAACAATTAAAAACCAGTATTGATACTGATGATGAACCAAAGTCTATAGCTTACATTAGAGTTCAGTGACTTGGGAGGCTGAGAAAGGATGGTAAATTCAAGACCAGCCTCAGCAGCCCTGTCTCAAAATTTTTTAAAAAGGCTGGTAAAGTCTCCCTGGGTTAAATCCCCGGTATCAAAAAAAAAAAAAAAAAAATCTGAACATATTCCTTACCAAAGATGATAGATAGGTGGCTAATGGCACATGAAAAGGCATTCAACATTATGTCATTAGGAAATTGCAAATTATAACAATGAGCTGTGGGCAGTGGCTCACATTGGTAATGTCAGCTTCTTGGGGAAGCTGAAACAGGAGGATCACAAGTTTAAGGTCAGGCTGGGTAACTTAGCAAGATCCTGTCTTAAAAACAAAAAAGGGCCGGGGATGGCTGGGTGCAGCAGTGCACAACTGTAATCCCAGTGGCTTGGGAGGCTGAGGCAGGAGGGTTGCGAGTTCAAAGCCAGCCTCGGCAAAAGTGAGGTGCTGAGCAACTCAGTGAGCCCCTGTCTCTAAATAAAATACAAAAAAAGGGCTGGATATGTGGCTCAGTGGTTGAGTGCCCCTGAGTTCAATCCCTGGTACCTAAAAAAATGCTGGAGATGTAGCCCAGTAGTAGAGCATCCCTGGGTTCAATCCCTAATACTGAAAAAAAAAGTGAAAATAATACTACACATCTCAGAATGGCTAAAA